TACATTATATTTATATACAGTACACAATCTATTATCTGAAACCATTAGGACGGTAGTATATGGTATAGTATATACAGATATACATACCGTATGCATGTCCTGCAACTAGCCATGCAGTACTAAAACCTTTCAAGTTTTCTTTTCAGGTGTCTTTTAAGTTTTCAAGAGGCTAAGTGCTGTAGCGGTTCAGTACAATATGTATGAGTAATGCCAAACACATGAATATTTCTGCAGTGAACCTTGTGCAGCCAAACGCGAGCTTTGGTGTTGCAGTCTACCTCCATGAAAAATCTTTTGGTTTTCAGAATTTCGGATAATAGACTGTGTACTGTACTATATGATTATATTTGATATATCGCGATGTACGCGTCGCGTTGCAGGGCAACACGTTCAACCTGACGGTTTACAACGTCGACGGCTGCGAGGACTGTGACTGTAACGTCGGCGGCGCCGTCTCGTCGCAGTGCAACACGATCAGCGGCGCGTGCGTGTGCCGACGCAACATCCGCGGCAGGAGCTGCGACTCGGCTGCGCCAGGTTTCTTCGTTCCGAAGCTCGACTACCTCACGGTCGAGTTGGAGATAGGCTCGGAATATCCAGAGGTTTCATTATCTCCTATACGCGTTAATTGAATATCCGCAGGTTTCGTTAACTCCTATACGCGTTAATTGGGTATCTAAGGGGCTCGTCACGATAATTGTTGCGATGATGTGACGTTCTGAAAGACTATGCTTGGCAATGATGTGTCGCGAAGGTGACATTTTCGTATGTATACGCATGTAAAATGCATATAAACTTGTCCAGCGTGACTGACCTAGCATGAGTATTTATGAAGCCACGGGTATCTCACTCAGAGGGATACACCAATTATCGAAGAACTAATACGTCTATATATAGAATCTGGGGAAATTTGTTCTGTTCTCACCACATTAAGTAGTATTATACAGTACGAAACTGTGGTGTAAAATTTACATATGAACACGTGTTGTATACATTTTCGGATAAAGAGGACAAGCAGCTATAATAGTTACCCCGAATCTTTTTAACATGTAACGGGCGTGTATGTGTGATTTGCTGCAGTTTCATTCTTGCAAACGCATAATTCACACTATGTGTGCTAGATGTGTAATTAAGGTAATAATAGTGTATATGTACAAGTGTAGTATTTGTATTATTGCAGACGTCCACTGTGGTAGCAGATCCTGACGAGGGCCAATTAAATGCGACATCAACAGGCATTGGTACCCTCAGGATCCTTGTTGGAGAGGTCATTAATATTCCCTCCATCGTCGTAGACAAAACAGCCGAGTATGAAGTTATCGTGCGCTATGTGGTATGTTAACCAGCAGCCAGAATTCCTTCTACCATCCTTCGCTCCAGTTATTATGACCTTGCTTGAAGAAAACTAGATAACTATCTGTAATCACTTCTCAACAATCACAGGAGTGCATGTGGCTCATGTTCTATCAATTAATTCACATTTAGAAAGTTCATTTAATTTAGAGAGTTCAATTAAATAACATCGTTTTTATTCATTTTTTAGTCACTAAATTTAAACTGGCAAGCTGAATTGACATTGGTACCAGATACACCAGTTTCCTATTCTTGTGATGGTGTCACTACATATAATGGCAACATTACATTTGGCAGTATTCTCGTTCGGACGAATCAAGGTAACTGACATTCGAACGCAATATCACAGTTTGACATATTTAACGTCATGAATGCGTATATAGTTTAAAATGAAAATAATATGATTTTGAACAGTTGCATATTAATCTGTACGCTACACATGTTCATTGTAGTATGAGATAGACAGATATATACCTCATTAACCCCTTTAATTGTGATCATTCACTGTGATCATTTACGGAGGATCACGGTATATGTGCAGTTGTTTTTACTTGAGCAGCCTGTCTAGCAAACGTGCCTGCCAAAGTTTTTGAATTTAAGTCGTGATTTTGAGCCACTCGATGTAACAGACAAGGGGACCGATGGAAAGAAACCCCTACCAAAATTGGGTTTGATAATTAGATGATTTTTTAATTGCAATTATTATCAGATGAAATTGCATCTAGTGGAAGCTTTGGACGACAGTGTTTGAGTGCGAATACAAAGTTTACTGCAATAATGAGATTTCTGCAGCGGCGTGGAGGTCGACAATACATCAATGTTGATTCCGTAAGGGATATTAGTCCGGGAGCTAGAAGGGTCCACCGTG